TGGTGTAATGAACAATCTCTACTTTTATTTGTCAAACTTTTGTACTATATTAACTATGTTTTTGTATAACCTTTAAGTATGATATTCTATGGAATGTTTTGAAATTTACTTGTGCATTGGGCAGTTTTTTGGCGATGACTTTTTGGGATGCTACAGAAGCACCATCAAACTGCATTTGAACTGAAGAAATCATCAATATAATCGATCAAGCTAATGGTTTAGGAATAAAGAAATGTTGCGAATTGGAATGTGTTATTTAATATCCAACATACAATAGATAAATCTGTTGGAAAGCCGCCAATGCTTTTAATTTCTAAATAATTTCCGACAAATTGATCGGTTGGAATCCCGTTAACCCATGATACGAGACTGGAAATTTTGATTGGCCTAAAATTATTGACTTAAATTTCACCGCTTTCAATTACCAACCCTCAAATGGATTCCTAATGATTACTTTGGAGACACCGTAATATTCCACTACCAATTTTTAATGTAATACGGTGTGCATTATAGAAATTTTACATCAAAAGGTTATTTTACAATATCCGTACAGATTACTCATGACTATGAGTGGGCTTGTTATTATTTTAAAGGAAGTTGGTTGACTCAGGGACGTGCATCTAGTTGTTGTTTTTTTTCAATCGAAAGGAAAACCGATTTGAACCTATTAATCGAGCATTTATAAACTAAAAACTATTCATAACCTTTGTGCTAATATGTTCGAAATGCATTGTCTTATTTCCTTCCTCTCTTACTTTCCCTTTTAAATTGTCCTAAAATAAATGTTATATTTTCTTTTTTGGAAAGGAATATATGATCAAAATTTCAACTACAATTTTAACTGTTTCAACCACATCATTAATAATTGTGCCAAACAAAAATAAGACACATAAAGTGAGATGGAGATAGTAGTGTTTATTTATTTACGTGCTCAATGGGCGGGTCATGATTTTAAATTGCGGTTGATATTGAGAGCAATGTTATTGTATCTATTGCGGCCGCTGCGATGCGCACTACGGTAGATGCGCGATACGACCTGATGCGGTCCATGATATGATCTGTTTAATCCTAGTATGGTCTAAGACTATAATTAATTCAAATTGAAAACAACCTAAGTATGAATGTTTGTTGTGTTTCGTTTCTTTTACAATTCGTGTCACACAATTATGAATTTTTAAAATGCAAACAAGATACTTCATCCGTCTCGCTAAGATTGTCTCTTATCAAATTTAGTATAGTTTGTGTATTTCTAAATCGTTCTTACTTTACATTCACTTTATAAATTCATTAGCATCATATAAAATCAATTTTCATGGTAATAACACCACTTCCTCTTATACCGATGTCCGAGAAACGGAGGTACCGAGGTAGTATTAATTTAAGAGTTCAAAATAGTTTATTTTTGGTTCACATATGGCCATACAAAGACAACATAGTCAAAACTGAGAGCGTGCACTATAAACGGTTGTACAGTGCTCACCGTACAACCGACTATTTTATGTTATGTTCAAGTAGTATAACGTTTTGAAGAAATGAGTATTAGTATTAAATCACTCTATTGGTAGCACAATTGAGTATTAAAAACATGTAATTGAGTATCATGATCTATTGATCTACACGCAATATATATTATTTGTGCTACAAATCAACTTATTCATTTAACTATATTGTCATTGTATTATCATCAAAAAACTATTGTGCTTATTTTATAATTTGTTGTCAATACTCGTTTCTTTAAACGGTATACACATTTCTTTCAATATAAAATACTTGAATGTACCGTGTGCATCGTTCAACTAGTTGTATAGTGTGCACCGTATGTGTATCATATAATTTGCTGTCAAAAGTAGATAGGTTGAAATTCATAGCAATAATTCAAAGTTTTAAATATTTACGATAAAATATTATTCAAACTAGAGATCTAATGAATTCATATATCATGAAGACATGCTATTTTTATTAAATTTATAAAAAAAACATGTTAATGCAAAGTTTCTTTTTTTCATTTTTTGAGCTTAAAATATATGGTTTCTTACACGAGCGCTTAAAATGGCTAAGTTACTAGGTTTATATACGGGTTTAGTCACTGCAAATATGACAATCTTTTTTTAGGTCTGCAACATTTTTTTAAATCTTTGTAATATGGACTTTTTTTGTTTAGTCCATCTCTTAATCCGAAATCAATTCTATATAGAAAAATATTATTGTCGATTGCATAAATCTTCTAGAAACTTTTAAATTCGATATTTTAAAAATCTTTTAAGGCTAATATGAGAGTTATAACAATGTCAAATTAATTATTCACATCTTTAAGATATATATTAAAAATCTTCTTAAAAAAATTTAAATACTACCTCCATCTCAAAAAATTCTTCTAACTTATCATTTTGCGATGTTTCCAAAAATTCTTCCCATTTCCCTTTTTGGAAAGTTTTTTGTGGCTAACATTCATTTACTTTGTTTTCTTACTCAACCACTATAATACATTTTCACTTTATTTTCATTTTCTTAATAAATGTGTCAAGTCAAACTGAGAAGAAATCTTTGGGACGAGGGAGTATTTTTGGCCTATTGGTCGGGGTTGTTTTCTAGTAAACAGAATTGTTATTATCGGTGGTTGACTAGAACAAAAATTACAACAAATTTCAGGCATGAAAAATAAAAAATGAAAAAAAATTGCAACCACATATAACAAAATGTATTATATTCGCACGGACTACAAAATTGAAACCTATAAAGTAAGATCTAAAAGGAACAGAATAAGAATTTGTGTTAGTTCGAATTTATACCCGTGACAAGTGTACGATGTAAATACAAATTTATAAGCTATCAAACACAATATTCAATACCATGGACTAATGGACAGATAGAAGTTGCCCCATAAAATCTCCAAATAGAATTCATTGGTTCTTATCCTTTTAATTCTTTTTCCTAAAGTTTGTAAATCTTCAAATATAATTCATTGGTTTTTATCCTTTTAATCCTTTTTTCTAAAGTATAATTTCTATTATAAATAGAAATAAATATTATTATTGATATTCAAGAAGAAAGACTCAAACTTAACTAAAATATAATTTATCAAGTTAAACTATTTTATTTTAGTCTAACAAAAAAAGGAATAAATTATCTTTGAATATACGTGACATGAGAGATAAACACATAAAGTTAAACAATTGTTGTTTCTCTTTCATTCTATCACCCGCATTTTCAACAAAGAGAAACTTTGCTATACAGGAATAAAACAAAATATGATTTCTCAAATAGGAGTGTCAATCTTTTTTCCTCTAAATAGAACTCATTCATATTTTATACTACTAGTATTTTATATTTTAGATTGTTATATTTTCATTCTTTTATTCGGAGTAATAAGTCCTATTTTGGGAGGAAAAACATACTTAATCATATTTTAGAATTTTGTCCAAAGTTTACCCTTATTTCGAGTATCTCTTTATGGTTAATACTGATAAAGACAAAGTTTAAGTACCATATCTAGATGTGAATATTATGGTTAATATTGTTGATAAAAATTAATTAGAGTGAATCCCCAAATAAGAGTCAAACATGGGTCAAATGTAAAAAATAGGAGTTAATATTTTAAATTCTCTAAATAGGAGTAATTATGTGCATTTAGAAAAAATGTTCCTTCAAGTGTTTGGACCCCCAACAGCCTGCCACCACTTGTCGCCGGCTGTTGCTTTCCAGAAATCTGCCACCGCCATTTTGCCTCTGTCGCCGGACTGCTCCGCCACCAACGGACTGTCATTGATTAATTAATTATATTAGGAATAAAAAGATAATGTTTAGTCATATGAATAAAAAAACATTAAGTCCTATTTGTGCATTTATGTTTAAATATAGTCCTATTTAAGTCTATTTCTCATAAAGTTAGTCCTATTTGTGCATAAAAGATTAAGGAAATGTCTGGGATTGTTTCTACTTTCCAAAAGATATACTCCCTCCGTCCCGTAAACAACTTCTCACTTTCCTTTTTGGGCAGTCCCGAAATTAACTTCACACTTCAAAACTTTCCTTATTTGGCAACTTTTCTACATCCAAACAGCGTCAAATAGTGCCAAGCAGTGTTCAAACATTGTTTAAACAGTTCTAAACAGTGCACTCCACAGTAAAGTCAAATTTATTTTCTTAATATGTGTGAAGTTAATTGCGGGACGGAGGGAGTATTTTATAGTGGTTTTGGAAAAGTTGGTAATAGAGAAAGTGAAAAGTTGTTAGAAGCATCTGTCTACCTTCTTTCAATTTTTAGTTTTTAAGTACTTAATTTAATTAAAAGCAATCACTTTTTTTTATAATAAACTAAACAATTTCATTACTCAATAAGATCGTTCAACATCATACCCCTGACATATTCCGGCGCCTGTACATAATCATAGTTGTTTAATGAGGTAAGGGTCAATTGAGTACATTGACTTGTATGACTTAGAGTAAAGAGTACATTATATTACATTTGATCTTTTTAAGTACACAAATTCGGGGTTTTAGTGTTAATTGAGTATGCCTGTTAGATTAACACGTTAATACCGCTGAGTTGGATAATAGGATGCTAATAGGGCGACTTCTTGAAGGTCGACACCAACCACCAGTCACTTGATTGACTTCACCTTGGTCAATGTCAGTCCCCCGCAGGTCGACCCCCCCCCCCCCCCCCCCCCCGCGCAGGTCGACCTGCGAAGGTCGATTTTCTCTTTTTGGTCAACTTCGTGAAGGTAGGTGCCATAACCTTGGTCCATTAACCCTTCTTACTCAATATTCCGTTAGCCAATCTAACAAGTGTACTCAATTAACACTAAACCCCCGAATTTGTGTACTTTAAAGGATCAAATGAATATAGTGTACTCCTTACTCCACCTTATATAGGTTGGTATACTCAATTGACTTTATTTAACCATCCATATTCAAAAGCTATTTTTTTTTAAAGTTGTTGCAAATACTGCTTGATTAAGGAAGGGCGATACATGTGAATATGTGATTATGTCTGGTAGGTGCTTGGATATGGATGGGCTGGACTTCTCAGGAAATACGTAGTGGAGCCAGCTCATATGTGGTGGCCCAGCACCCTCGTTCAAATCTCACTCTTCAGGTATTTTGTACTTTTGTTCATTTCCATAATTTCATTTATATTTTGCTTTAATTAATACTCCGTAATAATAAAGAAAGCCCTAAAAACTCAACTTCTCAACTTATTAAGGGTATGCATGTACTTCAAAAATAGCTATATGTGAATTGCATATGTTATTCCCTATATTTCAAATTATGATCGCGTTTGGTGATCCCGATTTTCTGTTTATCAATGTCATTCGTTAACTATTTTTATCAAATTTGTAACTTTTAATTTCACGTGTTGAATTGTGTATCAATCAAAATAAATAAGATTGAAGTTACTTTTCTGACTAAATTGGTTGAGTTAATATGAAAGATTATTTTAGCTATTTTTCATATAATATTTTCTTTCATTAATAATATATATTTAAAATTTAATTTTTTCATAATTCAGCATATCTAGCCAATTCATCGACCTTAGTCAAAATTTCACCATTTTGAACAGATTCAGTCAATTTCGTCGATTTCAGTGTTACCACACAGGCTCTATATATTACAGTATTATACATAATCAATTTTTCTTTTTAGGATGCTTCTAATTAGACTGGAATTTTTCGGTTATGTCTGGTCTGTTTAAATTTGGTTAAGTCTAATTCCATCTAATAATTGTCTGGTTTATTTGTATTTACTATTGCCTATGTCTGGTATGATATACTTTGGCCCAATCTATTCAAGTTTGATGTGATTTGTATAAATCTAGCTTGGTCTTCTGGTCTAAAAGTAAAACAAATCCAATTAAAAATATCCTAATTTATTACTCTCTCCGTCCCTTATAACTTTGCCAACTTTCCTTTTTTGGATGTCCCATTAATTTTGTCACTTTCCCTTTTAAGTAAAGAATTTGTGGTTCCAATTAATTCTCTCTCCGCTGCACAAATCTTAACTACACAGTTTTTACTTTATTAATCCTCGTACCGGTCAAACTTGGCAAAGTTATTAGAGATGGAGGGAGTATAAATTTATCTAACTTTCATGGCATTCCAATGTTTATTACGTAGTATTTAATTTGAGAGATATTACCCGAAATAGGACTAAAATAGTTTGAAAGTTCCAAAATCGGATGGTCATGTTTTCATTCCCAAAATAGGACTAATTACTGTCATGTTTTGGCAGTACCAGACTTCAAATATGGTAGTATTTTCCAAACTTGGCAGTAATTACTCCTATTTAGGGAATAAAAACATGACAGTCCTATTTTGGAATTTTCAAACTGTTTTAGTCCTATTTCGGGAACTTTCCCTTAATTTGAAGACCAATTATCACTCAGAACCGAATTATAGTACACACTTTTTTTGAATACCGGCTAATTGAATATATAACAAAAATACATGGAGTTGCCGTCGAACTAGAAATCTGGTCATTTATGACATCAAAAACCGTCAAACAGATACAGAAAAATTAAATTAGGATTATTTTGAAATGTGGTCTCTTCCTTTCATTTTTTAATGAGTTAGATAACTGAATTTCTAGTGGAAAGTAACTTTGTATCACTTTTGTTATATATCAAAATTGTTATATATTCAAATGTTGGTATTACTAAGTACTTTTGTGGTTATCTCTCATGTCACATGTGCACCGTGCACATTGTACTATTGGAGATGTTCTAATACTTCGTATAATATTAATAGTGAATATCAAAGGCCTATCTTCACCATATATGCTCATCTACTATAACAAGACAGTTAATATAAGTACAAAATTATCTTCAAATACAAAATCATCTTGTGTACGAATTACAAAGCATCATTGGGATTGTTCGAGTAACACATATTTACATCAGAGTTCGAGCTGGATTCTTGAGAACCCATGATTAGTTTGTCTAACTCGGGATCACCTAGTGCTAATAAAAAACTACCTAGTATAAACCATCCTCATTTAAAGAGCATTTGAGAAGGGGTTCCCTACAAGAGTGTTGCTTTCCCTTTTAATTACTTTTCCAATTTTTTCCTGCATTTCTCCTTATCATTTCAGGTTGGAATAGACTTATTATGAGTGATATTAATTTTAAAAAACCGATCAAACTCTTTGAAGTATACTAAAATTAAGCTGTGATTTACAAGTACAACTATACAAAACACTTACCTAGTTACCTTGTAAAAAATGTTCTCCAAATAATCATATGAACCACATTATTTTTTGTAACGTTGGGTTTTTTGTGACTTTTATTTTATAGGACACTTCATGAAAAGGAAAACGAAGAGGACAAGCGGTACATGTCACGCGCAAAGTTTTTTGTGATTGCTCTCACTTGCAGTTTTTTATGGTACTTCTTCCCTGGTTACCTATTCCAGACTCTGCAAAGCATATCATGGGTATGTTGGGTCTTTCCCAAATCTGTTACCGCCCAACAAATAGGGTCTGGAATGAACGGGCTTGGACTAGGAGCCCTGACACTAGACTGGGCCACAATAGCCTCATTTTTGTCCAGCCCACTCATAAGTCCATTCTTTGCCATTGCCAACATCTTTGTTGGGTACACATGTGTGATGTACATTGTGATTCCCTTATTTTATTGGGGATTTAATGTTTATAATGCCAAGAACTTCTCCATTATCTCATCTGACTTGTTTACAGCACAAGGTCAACAGTATAATATATCAGCTATTGTTAATAATAAGTTTGAGCTTGATGAGGCTCAATATGCTAAGCAAGGAAGAATCCATTTAAGTACCATGTTTTCTTTGGCCTATGGATTTGGATTTGCCACTATTGCATCCACACTATCTCATGTAGCCATCTTTTATGGAAGGTGAATTTTCTTAACTTCTAATATATGCATACCAACCTCTTTCTTTCAAGATTTTTTCAGTCACTAAAAGCTAAGTCATTGAAAAGCTCAAAAAAGTATTTTATCATCTAGTTGTGCCAAACATACGCATAATGTGGTCCCGCACTACACCTTAACTTTACATTTTGCGATAAAGACTTGAGCAAGTAAAAGTAAACGAATGAAGTATTTCTTTCAATTTGGCCTAAAATTTACTTTGGATATGCGATTATGGAATCCTTATTCTTTGTGTGTGGGCAGAGAAATATATGAACGATATAGAGCATCTACAAAGGGAAAAGTGGATATACATACGAGATTGATGCGAAACTACAAAGACATACCTTCTTGGTGGTTTTACATACTTCTTTTAGTGACGATGACGGTGTCACTTGCACTATGCATCTTCTTGAAAGATGAGGTTCAGATGCCTTACTGGGGACTTCTCTTTGCAGCTGCTATTGCTTTCGTGTTTACCCTCCCCATTAGTATCATTACAGCCACCACAAACATGGTAACCATATACTTCTTTGATAGAAACAGAGTAAATATGTTAATCTAACATATATATATATATATTGATTTATTTAAATTTTCCTTGATGACAGACACCGGGACTAAATATAATTACAGAATACATAATGGGGATAATATATCCTGGAAAACCTATAGCTAATGTGTGCTTCAAGACGTACGGTTACATGAGCATGTCTCAAGCTGTATCCTTCCTCAGTGATTTCAAGCTGGGTCATTATATGAAGATCCCTCCTAGATCAATGTTTTTGGTTCAGGTAACACTCAAAAGAATTCATTAACCAAGTAGGGTAAACTGTAATATAAACTCACCTGTATACATATATTACCAATTTGTATAATTGTATACTGAGCTTTTGTTTACACATACAAGATTCTGTTTGTGAGTTTTGCATCTTTTTTAGAGAGAGAGAACTATTTGTGAAGATGATTCTATAAGTTATCACTCACATAGACAAAATCATATACTACATATGTGTTGAGTAGAAATAATTGATGTACAAGTGTGTTGAATAAATGGGCTGTAGATCATGCATAATAACTCTAGTCCTAAATGATCAAATGTCCTTTAATTGATGACATCATATCAAATTTGGAAAGTTTACTAATTTTGTCTCTATTTGTGTTTTTGTTCATTACTAAATACTACATATGAATTTGTTAGCTTTACTCAGATAGCGTCCTGCTACTAATAGGTTTGTTAATATTAAGTTTTTTGTTGTAATGTGGAAATACCGATGTGCTTAATGTGTACAAATTCTATTGGAAGAATTCTTGATATGAGCAAATTTATTGGTTCTAAGGCATCACATGCAAGTGAATAGAATTACATGAGTAATAATGATATAGACTTAATAGCGATTTCTCTTTCGAAATTTGAAATTTTGATATCTTATACTCGGTACAACATATGTGAGTTCACATTTCTTATTTTATGAATGTATAGCAGTTTGGATGTCGTTGAGTAACTTTATAGCTGTCAACTGTTTGAATGGATGAAGCATGTGAGTAAAGTTACTTAATTTGCATGATCATAAATTTTGATAAACAGCACTTTCTTTTTGCATCATTTATATATCATGTTTTGAAAGTAAATCTTTGTTAATATTTAAAACCAAACCATGTTATATATAATATGTTGTCTACTTTGTATTGATGTTTCAAAAAAATTATTAGTTCATTGGAACCATCATTGCTGGAACAACAAATATGATTGTTGCATGGTGGCTCTTGCACTCAGTTGACAACATATGCCACCAGACCAAGTTCTCAAACAGCCCATGGACCTGCCCGGGTGACCACGTCTTCTTTGATGCTTCAGTCATCTGGGGACTCGTTGGGCCAAAGAGGATATTCGGGTCGCTCGGGAACTACTCCGCCCTTAACTGGTTCTTTCTGGGCGGGCTAATGGGTCCCATTATAGTATGGGCTTTACACAAGGCATTCCCTTCCCAGTCCTGGATCACCTTCATCAACCTCCCTGTTCTTTTCGGAGCCACCCATAGCATGCCTCCCGCGTCTTCCTTAAACTACACCTCTTGGATTCTGGTGGGGACCGTCTTCAACTTCTTCGTTTTTAGGTACCGGAAGAAGTGGTGGCAGAGGTATAACTATATCCTGTCAGCAGCGTTAGATGCCGGCGTTGCTTTCATGGCAGTCTTTCTGTACTTCGTCGTTGGGTTGGAGAATAGAAGTGTGACATGGTGGGGGACCACTGACCCTGAGCATTGTGATCTTGCCACTTGCCCCACTGCCAAAGGCATATCTATTGATGGTTGTCCTACATTTTAGCTTCAAGTTTGCATAGCATGTAAGGTGGGTATAGCCTCTAAGGCTGTAAAAAGAAATCAATTTGTATGTAAAATATCTGTATTGAAATTTATTTGAAAACAATTTATCACAATGGAATCCATTTTATTCTTTTGCACTGTAAATTAATAGACATGCTACGAAAAGACACTTTTAATGACAATTAGTTTATGACAATGTTATTTTAAATTAGGAAGTCTTGAAAAACAATGTTAATTTGTTATTAACACTTGTACCAAATTAAAATAATTTGTGATCCTACCAAGCTGTGGCTAGCAGTACACCAAAAAAGAATGTCTCATATGATCCAAATTTGCCTCAGATCAGTAATAAGCATTTCCCCAAAAAGAAAAAACAATGAAATCACAATCGTGTGGGTTAGAACGAAGAGGTGCATCAAGATCCACACATCCAATCCTATCACAAGAAGCAGAGACTTCATCACCGGCACCGGAGAAAGAAGATGTTTCATCATCAAAGGAAAAGTTCTCTGGGGATGATGACGAGGCTGTGTGGACGTTTCGTGTATTCATGTTGGGATCATTGTCGTGCATCTTCTTAATAATCGCAAACAAATATTATCTGGAAGAAACGGCGGAAAGTGTGATGTCAATGGTGGTTGCAATGGCTGTGGCGTACCCGGCTGGGGTCCTCATGGCTAAGAAGATGCCAAAGAGGAGGATCTACGTGAGGGCGCTTGATTTCGAGTTTGTGTTGAACCCTGGGCCTTTAAGCATGAAGGAATATGTTTTGATCACTACGTTAGGAAATGTAGGTGCTGTCTATGGTGGCTTGACCTCTCATTCTATCCCTCATTCCTTGTCATTCTAATTGGTTTCTGCACATAAAAAGCACCCTCCCTGTATGAATCAAATCCATCCATTTTGGCCTCATTGTGTATATGCTATCCTTTTTTCTTTTAAAAACTAAAAAGAAATTTACGTTGACAAGAGATATGGGCTAATATTTTATTGACATTTCAAAATTAATAAATAGCTACTTTAAACAAGTATAACTGATTTTAAATTCCTTGTACAACCTTTTTAACATTAAAAAGTGTAAAACCAGAAACGAAAACTGGATGTGATATTGTACGATCTCATTGCCTATTGTTTCTTAGGATGTTTTAAGCTTTTCTGTTCACAGGGGTATATTTTTCCAGAAAATGTGTTCTTACTTTATTGCATTTGTCACTTCATAAAATTGTATTGCATTTGTCAAGTTCCACGGCAGGGTAGCAGGGATTGTAATTCTTCATAAACTTTCCATTTGTCACTTAACAATGTAACTTAAAATATTCCATTTTATGAGGCTCGTCAAATCAAATAATATTTATGTTCCATTTTTTCCCCTTTTTATGTCTCTTAATCAAATAATATTCTTTTGAAGTTTTTTATATCCTTTTTTAGGTATGGATCTCTTGCTAGGAGAATACAAAAATGTTCGAGGAAAGTTATTTTATTACGAAGTATGATAGGCTTTACCTTGAAAATAAAAGAAAGGCCAAGAAGTGATTGTTTATTTTACAACTCGTAGTAAACATAATGTCCATTCAAAACGTAGTAACAACACTATTTTGATTTACCAGTTCAGTAGGCCCCTTCTTTACAACTCCTATTGTGCACAACTCATTCATCAATTCCGAAGCTTCCTTCCCAAACCCTTCATTCATTAGACCTTTAATGAGAATAATGTAAGTAGTTTCAGTCGGTTGACATCCCCTTGACACCATATCAGCCAAGAAGTCAATTGCACGGTCTGTTTGGCGAATTTTGCAAAGTCCAAATATTACACCATTGTAAGTGATAGAATTAGGTACGACACCGAACGCTCCCAAGTCACGAAACAACTCGATGGCTTTATATACATTCCCTTCCCTACTAAGCCCCCAGATGAGCGAAGTGTAGGTAATCAAATTGGGTTTGAAACCCTTTTTCATCATCTCATCTAACAGCTCTATGACCATCTTCGTTTTGCCCACCTTTGCTAGCCCATATATAATCACATTGTAAGTTTGAAGCACAGGAGAACATTCATGTTTCGTGCTCAGTTGGTCAAAGATTTTAATTGCCAAATCAACCTTCCCATCTTTGCAAAGGGCATTGAGTAGTGTGTTATAGGTCACGATATCAGGGTAACACCCCTGGGAAACCATCACTTCTAGATACTCAATGGCTCTGTCCATCTTTTTCTCCTTACAAAAAGCATAAACTATTGGATTGTAAGTCAATGAGTTGGGAGTACAACCGTGCATTGGCATTTTCTCCAACAGGTCAATCGCTCTTCTCACAATGCCCTTCCGGCACAAGAAATTGATAAGGATGTTAAAGGTGACGACACTCGGAGAAATGTTCTTTTTCCTAGCCATCTCTCCAAACAGCCTCTCAGCTTCCTCCCACCTATCGGTGGTACACAAGCTACGTAAAATAGTGTTGAGAGTGATCACATTTGGATGGACCCCATATGATGGCATCTCATTCAAAAACTCAATCGCTTTGTCCAAATGCCCGCTCTTGCAAATTGCATTAATCAGAATGTTACATGTCACTTCATTCGGCCTACATCCCATACTCCTCATATCATCAAATAACTTCATCGCCCGCTGGACATCACTACCCTTGCACATTGCCTCAATCAGAATGGTATAAGTGTATACATCAGGGTAACATTTCCACTTTAGCTGCAAATCAAGAACCTCCATAGCCTGTTTAAGTCTTCCATTCCGGCATAAAGGTCTGAGGATCTTGTTGTATGTGACAATATCAGGAGAAACAGTCATTTTCTTCAAGATATTCAAGGCGTCATGAAACTCACCCGCCTTACAATGTGCAACAATCAAGGCCTGGTAGGTGATGACATCAGGATCCACCCCTGAACCCTCTAAAATCTTCATTACACTAGTGGCCATCTTAGTCTGCCCATTTCCACAAAAACCCCTAACCAACTTCTCAAGCATATGCACATCCGGGATTTCGCCTCGGCCAATCATGGTCAAAAGGTGTCTAAAACCTTCCCCCAATTTACCATCACACACCAGCTTCCTAAGGTGGTAATTGCTCTCAAGGTTATTACTACTGTTATTGGTCGTTATAATTTCAGTACTTGATAAAGCAAAGACCTTGTCTCGCCGAAGTTTTGAATTACGTTCCAGTTTTTTCAGTCCACTAAGAGAACTTGAAAGCAAATTTGTAAAACGGATAGTAACACATCGACCTTTGACCTCAAAGGAGTGAGCTCTAAAACTTCCTTCATGATAACAGCAATTTGAGCAAAAAAAATCGTGGGTTTGCTTCGTAGGCACTATTATCTCCATTTTCAACCAAAACAATTAAGAACGAACTAACTAATGGTTGTAATTCGAGTTCAAAGAATCAAAACCTCACGCATGCTAATAAGCGCTAGTGCAAACAGACAGGAAAAAAAGAGCAAGCTAGAGAAGAAGGACCGCTGAAGTTTTGGCCGGAACAGTGACGAGCAATACGGATGAGGCACGGTGGGCTCCGACTCCTCCGAGATAAGGTCTATGCGGCCTGCAGGCTGCAGCTTTATTTTTTTTGTCTAGGGTCAAATAGGTTCAATTAGTCTCTTATATAGTAGATTCTGTCCGGCCGTAGCCAATTGGGGCGGTTTCCGGTGGAATTTCTTGATGAAATTTTTTCAGCATCTTCTTCATTAAGTCTAGTTTCTCCATACCAAATTTCAGCTAAAAGTTCAACCCGAAAAGCAGTCAAATGATTTTTTGAAGATAACTGCGCAATTAAACAGCGCAGTACATTTCGGAAAATTATTTGACTGCCTTCCCGGTTTAATTTTTAGCTGAAATTTGATACGAATAAACTAAGAAGATGCTCAAAAAATTTCATCAAAAAATTCAACCAGGAACCTCCCCGATTGGCGATGGTCGGGCTGAACCTCCTATATAAGGGGCTAATTGAACACTTTAAGTTAGTTCAAGGGCCTATTTGATCCTTTAGCCTTTTTTGTTTAACTTTTTTGTTGTTGAAACTTGAAATGGAGTAGAATTTGACAACATAGTTGCTCCAGCCAATTTAACATGTTATAGCCAATGTTCTAAAAGGCGTAAGGCGTGCCGAGGCGGCACGGGCGAGCCTTAAGCCTTTGGAGCCTAAGCGGGTTTAGGCGGGATTAAGGCGTGAAAAGGCATTTTTTTTAATCATTTATTTTAATTTTTCTAGAGATAGTTTCAAATATTTGTATTTATAGTTAAATAATTTTAATCATGAACATCATACTTTTCTAATTTGCAACAAAAAATACCCTTGGAGTTCTAAATGTAACAAATTAAACATAAACAGATCAATTACTCAAAAACTAGAATTGAAAAAAGTAGTTGAATGATAAGTTACTGATAAAAAGAAATAATACCTAATAAATGGATAAAATAAGGATAGTGAAATAAATGTAATTCTATAATTTTTAGTGACTATAATACATTCAAATTTTACTAATAAAATACAATAATAACAATAGTATACGGAGTATATAATAATAACAATAATATAATACGTAATAATAACAATAATTACAACAATTACAATTGATCTTAATGTACATAGTATTTTTTTGGACAATTCTTTCTAACCTATATAGTATCTGTTCATTGTTAATGTACATAGTATTGATAATACTATGTAATACATAGTACATAGTAGATGTTTAGCGTATTTATATTGAGTTTATAATAATAATAATAATAATAATAATAATAATAATAATAATAATAATAATAATAATAATAATAATAATAATAATAATAATAATAATAATAATAATAAGGGAAAATGGAAACTAATAATCCAACCTTTTGGCAGTCTTCTTTTAATAGTCCCACCTTTTCGTTATTCATGAATAATCCAACCTTTGCACTTCATCTTCATTCATTGGTCCCTGATCGGTTGATGACCTGCTATTCCGAGTTATTTTCTTATCTTTGCAAAATATTGTCTTTGTGAAAGGTGGAATTTATGGTATAATAGTTTGCAAAGATAAGAAAATAACTCGGAATAGCAGGTCATCAACCGGTCGGAGACCAATGAATGAAGATGAGGTGCAAAGGTTGGATTATTCATGAATAACGCAAAGGTCAGACTATTAAAAGAAGACTGCTAAAAGGTTGGATTATTAGTTTCCATTTTCCCTAATAATAATAATAATAATAATAATAATAATAATAATAATAATAATAATAATAATAATAATAATAATAATAATAATAATAATAATAATAATAATAATAATAAATTAAAGCTTTAGAATAATAATAATCCACAATTTCAAAATAAAGCATTGATCGGAGCAGTGGCCTACTTGACTACTTCATACGAAATTATCGTGTCCAAAACCTTGCCCCATTACCTTAGACTTCATATTTAAAAAAAAAAATTGTTTTTTCTCTCCCATTCAAGTTTCCCACACCGGCATGGAAGAAGAGCATTCCTCCCCACCTAACTCTATAAAGTAATCCACCTCCAATTGCTTTACCACGAAAATTGCACATGGCTTGAAAAGGCAACGTGTAACACCGTCCCCAAATGCATTTACCTTTATGTGAATAATGTATTGAATCTTATGGAATGGTTAATGAGTATACGAAGTTGTGAATTTTACTTATTCTCTTACGTGAATAGTAAATTCGCACGTGGGGCCCACACCGGGAGCGGGGGCCGCCCGAAATTCCCGAAACCATATATTTTATTTATATTGGTCAAGATAATATTTATATAGTGGTGGATATCTCATTTGAGCAATGGAAAGGCCCAGAGTTGACCGATTGGTCAAAAGAGGCCCAAATACCGGTATTGGTAATTTAACCGATAAAAGCCCGAAATTGGATTTCGGAGACCTATAAATTAAAGTTGGGAAATGTATATTCATTATAAAGGGTATAATGATTAAGAACACATAATATATTTTATTTGACCCGATAAAATAAAATATATTTAAAACAGTCCGAAAAATACAACTTTCGGGGCCGATTGTACACTTCTGGACAAAAAGGGTTGACCTCCCACATGTGTGGGGGCCAACCCACGAATTTAACCTCATTTTTAAACACATTGGTCGGCTGAATTGAGAGGGAGACATGGGTGAGGGATTGTGAATTGATAGAAAAGGGATCAAACAAAAAGGGGTGGATCCCATCCACTCTCATTTGATCAATGAGACAAAAAGGGTCATCTCCACCCTTCCCCTACCTCATTCTCGGCCAACCCACACCAAGGAGAGACCAGAAAAACCATCTCCCTCCCTCTCCATTGTTGAAGGAAGCTCCAACAAGAAGGAAGCTCTAGGAAAAAGTTTAAGTTCCAAAAGTGTACAAAACTTGAGGAAAGGCTAGGTAATGACTTCATTTACCTTTCTCTTCTCTTTTTCTTGAATACATTATTATTTGAGGAATTATGAAGAACCCTAGGATTGTTCTACATGTTGATAAATGTGGAACAAGGGGTTGGAAGGTGGTTCTATGTCCAAAAATGGATTTAGAAGCCAAACCGACAAGTTCACCGGAAAATAACCTTTTAGGGGTTATTTGTATTGATTAAGGTTTTATGATGTTAAAACCTTGTTAGGAGCTTGACTAAAGTATTTTTGAGCTTCGCCGGAGTTGGTCAAAGTTCGCCGGAGTTGGTCAAAGTTCACCGGAAATTAGTCAAAGTTCAACCGGGGAGCGTAGAACGCGCGTGAGCTCACTTAAGGTGAGGATGACCGACTATATTGCTTATAATCCTTGGGTTAATTTCATAAGATTACCTAAGATAATTAAATGTGATTTTCATGGATTATTAATGATTAATAATGCCTAATGAAAATATTATTGTTTATTAATAGAAGATGCATAATATACAAATTTATGAGTAAATGGTGTATAGTTATGCATTGTAAGAATGATGATATGATGAATGTATAAATCATGAATTTTTGTGATGAAATATACTTTTACTTCATGTATAGAAATCATGAATGGATAAAAGTGATATTTTTGATATTGAGATTAAATCATATATAGATTGAGAAATTCATGGGAATGAGCCTTATAACTATGAATTAAAGAGCTTGGTGGCTTAAAGACAAATGGATTAGTATTGATTTTACTAGTCGGAAATGTTAGCGTGAAAAGTGATACAACAAATCCTAAGGGCTTGGATTGTGAGAGAGGTACACCTTAAGTAGTCTTATGAGATGTCTTAAGGTAGAAATGGGTAAACGCTAAGTTACCGTAGGAGTAGGCCTCAAAGGCTACTCATAATAGAGGAACTCTAGGCATAGAACTTGCTTAGTGAACTAGTATCGTGACTAGAGGAAGCCTCTAGCACGATGAAGAATGACTGGAGGAAGCCTCCAGCATTCGTGTAGGACGACTAGAGGAAGCCTCTAGCGTAACGTAATGTGACTGGAGGAAGCCTCCAGCACAACGTATGTAAGGTGATTAGAGGAAGCCTCTAACACCAAGTGGAGTGACTAGAGTAAGCCTCTAGCACGACAAAACATGACTAGAGGAAGCCTCTAGCATGGTAAACTAATATAGATGGGTGTGGCTTGAAGTCACAGGGAAAGGGTTAAATGTTTTCAAAGTAAACATGGGCCTTCGGGCGATTACTTGACTTTATATATAAAGTAAGTATACTTTCAAAGAGGGTAACCATGGGTTATGACCTATAATATAATAACATCCTAGATTGAGGGTCTTGGAAATTGAAACTTTGATTATACTTAGTATAGTTGTCATTGTACTTGTCAAATGCTTCCAAGTACTGACCTCCCCTTCACGGGGGAGGCCACCTCACAGTTTCAGGTAGAACTTGAAGGTTGCTACCCTCGCCGTTGCTCCAAGAGAATTCAGGAGAAGAAGACGTGGTTCGTGCTCCCTCCGTTCCTGTTTTAAACTCATTTAAATTAATGCTCATGGATGTTATCTTTTGAATAACTATTGATGGCTTGTATGCCCATGTTACGCCAAGTGTGGCTTGAACACTTGTATTAAACGTTTCCGCTGCTTTGAATGAATATTTTATATTATGTTTGTTTATGGATGTACTATGTGTGAATGATATCCCAGACGCCTTGTATAGTATGAATGTGTTGGACTGCGGTTGACCATTCGTACTGTACGGCGGATTGTTGACGTGTCCGGGTAGGTCCGGGGCGTGACAATTTAATTGGTATCAGAGCCTTAGTCCGTAAACATCATAATGAAGCTTCAAAATCCCTTTTGAAAATGATTTTGAAAACCATGAGCATAAAAGTTTTGCACTTATAGAACTTTTGGTACTTGAGTTGCAAAGTCTCTAATTGTTAAGATGGTACCCTTAACAATTGGTATGACGGTGATTTGAGCCAAAGGATTTCTTTAAGTGCCTATCCGTCACTTGACATTGATACGAGTCTAATGGCTCATTCTCAATTTCTTTCAGAAATGGAACGTACCGGGAAAGTTACTCGACGGAACCCGACTGGCCAGGCACCGGGAAGGTCCCAACGTGGCAGTCGGGGAGCATCGAGGGTGTCCGGGGGACAAGGCCGTACGTGCAGGCCACTCGTTGACTGTGAGTGACGGCCATGTTGAGACGATTGACGAGCATTATGAATCCGAGGAGGATTCAACTTACCGGCCGGGAACTGAGCCGGTTGAAACCCCATATGATGGGGGGGACGATGACGTTAGCGAAGAGAGCGATGATAATGACGCTCTCGAGAGGATTGAGGAATTGCTTCGGCAATACCAACAAGATCGCCAAAGGCGCCGGGCAAGGCGTGCTTCGGTAGGGGCTTCGAGAAGAGGAAGCCGTGCTAGTTTTGGAGGACATGAGGAACCCCGGGGAGGAAGAGGTGTCGAGGTCCCAATAATAAGGATCTCGAAATACCTAAAAGAAGCAAGGGATTTGGGGTGCAAACCGTTCGATGGAACGGGAGACATCTCCATTGCGGCTGAATGGATCAAAAGATTCAACGAGGCGGCCCTTGACATGCAGCTGCCGCCAAACATGAAAATGAGAGTAGCAACGAGGTTGCTAGAAGGCATGGCGTCCACGTGGTGGGACGGAGTCAAAGGAAAATACGACGAGGCCGTCACTTGGGAGAACTTTCGGCAGGAGTTCTTCAACCAATACTACTCCGACTTCGAGGTAAACATGAAGAGGAGGGAGTATACGAACTTGACACAAGGAGGTGCATGTACGGTGAAGGAACTTGAGCACAAGTTCAGAAAGCTTGCCGAATTCATACCGGAGAACATATGTGATGAGAACCGGATGGTGGGTGAATCACTTCTGGGATGCCTTGGACCTTGACATACGTGAGAGGGCAGCACAATTGCCTAATATGACATTTAGTCAAGTGGTGGAACAAGGTTTGAAGGGAGAGAAGGAGTGGGAAGAGAGGAAGCGAAGAAATGCCGAGGAGGCAAAGAAAAGAAAATGGGAGAACCATGGCCCCCAGGGTTCAAACAAGAAGGGGAATCACGGGGGAGGAGGATCCTTCAGGGCACCCGCACCACCATCAAGGGGGAATCCCAACATGGGTGGGCAAAACTCGGGGTCACAAGCCTCGACGAAGCCTAAGTGCAGGAATTGCAAGAGAAATCACGAGGGCAAATGTCGTGATCCCCCACGGTGCTACCAATGCGGAGATACGGGGCACATAAAGCCCAATTGCCCTCAACTTGGTGGGAACCGGTCATCAGGACCAAGCAGTGCAACCACGGTGAGTAGAAACCGGGGTGGGGCACCAAATGCAAGCGCGGGCCATGGCGGGGCAAGTACAAGCAACGCACCCTCCGTGAACCAAGGAAGAACTCAAGCGAGAGTGTACGCAATGACCGAGGCAGATGCTCGGGCTAATCCCGACTCCGTCGCAGGTAATACACTTATTTTGGGCATTTTTAGGCTTACTTTGATCATGTACGTCGTTGGGATTGAGTGCGGGCCACCCCGGGGCCAAACCGGGTGAGTTAGGCCAAATCAGGCTGGAAACAGCCACTGCCGGCCAGGCACGGCCGCAGGCACGCCGTGCGTGGCACCGTGCCTGGGAGGCAGTGGCCTCGCTGAGGAGTTCCGGCCAGGCACGGCCGCAGGCACGCCGTGCGTGGCACCGTGCCTGGAAGGCAGTGGCCTTTCTGAGAAATTCCGGCCAGGCACGGCCGCAGGCACGCCGTGCGTGGCACCATGCCTGGGAGGCAGTGGCGAGAAGGGGGACTCCTATGCACGCACGGCCGTGCGTGCCACCCAGGCACGCCGTGCGTAGACCCCCGGCAACCGAAAACTCATTTTTTTCGCTCCATTCTTTTACGTTTGGACCCCCGTTTGATTCCAAACATTAGTATGAACCTAATAACCTCCTAAGGATGTGTAAAAACATTAGAAAAGGTATCTTACATGGTGTATAAATGTAGGAACATTAAAGATCAATGGTAGGTGTGCGAGGATCCTCATCGATACCGGGGCACAACGCTCATTCGTGAGTGAGGCGTTCGCCGAGGGCCTTGACGTGCCATTGGCGCCTATGACGCAAACATTACTGGTCTCCACACCGTTAGGAGATGACGTGGAGAGAAATCATTACTATCCATCATGTGAGGTGGAAGTGACGGGTCAACACTTGACTTGTGATTTCGTACCTCTAGGCATGTTGGAGTTCGATGCGATCCTAGGGATGGATTGGCTAGAGAAACACCATGCCCGAGTGGATTGCTACACCAAGGTGTTGGAGCTCAAGGATGATCAAGGAAACCCGCTATGTTTCGAGGGAGATCGGGGGAAATCTAATGCTTGTATCATATCCGTGATGAGAGCACGGAAGATGATGAGGAAGGGATGCCACGCATACCTTGCTTATGTGGTGGACGATACCAAGAAGGAAGTCGACATCAAAGATGTACGAGTCGTATGCAAATACCCGGATGTCTTTCCCAAGGACCTACCGGGGCTTCCACCCAATAGGGAGATCGAATTTGTAATTGAAGTGGAGCCGGGAACCAAACCCATTTCGATTCCCCCTTATCGAATGGCACCGGCCGAGCTTCAAGAGCTGAAGGTCCAACTACAAGAATTATTAGACAACGGATTCATCAGACCCAGTCATTCACCGTGGGGGGCACCCGTACTCTTCGTGAAGAAGAAGGATGGCACACTGAGAATGTGTATTGACTACCGACAGTTGAACAAGGTCACAATCAAGAACAAATATCCCTTACCGAGGATTGATGACTTGTTTGATCAACTTCGGGGGGCAATAGTGTTCTCGAAGATTGATTTGAGGTCGGGGTATCATCAGTTGAAGATCAAGGAGAGCGACATACCTAAGAGCGCATTTCGCACTAGATATGGTCATTACGAGTTCCTTGTGATGTCATTTGGTTTAACTAACGCACCGGCGGCATTCATGGACTTGATGAACCGTGTGTTTAGTGAATACTTAGATCAATTTGTGATAGTATTCATTGATGATATCTTGATATATTCCAAGAGCGAGGAGGAGCACGAATGTCATTTGAGACTTGTACTTGATCGGCTAAGGGAAAAGCAACTCTTTGCCAAGTTCTCAAAATGCAAATTTTGGCTCAAAGAGATCGGTTTCCTCGGTCATGTCATATCCGGTTCGGGCGTTGCCGTGGACAACGCCAAGATTAAAGCTATTATGGATTTGGAGAGACCCAAGAATGTGAAAGAGATACGTAGTTTCCTTGGCTTAGCGGGATACTATCGTAAATTTGTTGAAAATTTCTCCGTATTGGCGTCTCCATTAACGAAGCTCACAAAGAAAGGGGCCAAGTTCATATGGGACGACAAGTGTGAGAAAGGGTTCCTTGAACTGAAGAAACGACTTACCGAAGCACCAGTACTAGCCCTACCTATACAGGGGATAAGGTATGATATCTACAGTGATGCTAGCATTCAAGGGCTTGGATGTGTACTGATGCAAAACGGTCGGGTGATTGCCTATGCTTCTAGGCAACTGAAGAAACACGAGGCGAACTACCCTACCCACGATCTAGAGTTGGGGGCGGTAGTGTTTGCACTAAAGATTTGGAGGCATTACCTCTATGGGGAGACATGTCACATTTTTACCGATCATAAGAGCTTGAAGTACGTATTCACTCAGAAAGAGTTGAATATGAGACAAAGGAGATGGATGGAGTTGATCAAGGACTATGACCTGATCATCGACTATCATCCCGGAAAGGCCAATGTAGTGGCCGATGCACTGAGCAGGAAAAGTACGTCGGGGACATTACTCACATGTCTACGAACTTTGAGGGCACAAGTGGAGGTGTCCACGAGTGGGGTCCTCATTGCTAGATTCGAGGTTAGGCCTACATTGCTGAGTGAGATCAGTAGATGTCAGGCCACTGATGAAGAATGCCAGAAGATCCGCGAGAGGATCCTTGAAGGGCCCGTGGAGAACTTTCGGGTACGTGATGACGGTCTTTTACTGTTTAAAGACCGTGTATGCATACCAAAGAGTGAGGAGCTCCAAAAGTCCATACTAGAGGAGGCTCATTCTTCGGCATATGCTATGCATCCTGGAGGTACTAAAATGTACCGAGACTTGAAGGAAAGTTACTGATGGTCGGGTATGAAGAGAGACATCGCAGAGTACGTGAGTCGATGCCTTACTTGCCAACAAGTTAAGGCAGAGCATCAGCACCCGGCGGGGCTTTTGCAGCCGCTGACCATTCCAGAATGGAAGTGGGAGCATGTTACCATGGACTTCGTGGTGGGGCTACCACGAACAGTGAACAACTACGATGCAGTATGGGTAGTGATTGATAGGCTCACTAAGAGTGCACACTTTTTGCCTATTAACATTACCTATCCTCTTGAAAGATTGGCAAAGCTATACACGGAGGAGATTGTGAGACTTCATGGAGTTCCCATCTCCATTGTCTCGGATAGGGACCCACGTTTCACATCCCGATTTTGGCCAAAGTTTCAAGCATCTTTGGGAACGAAACTGAAGTTTAGCACAGCTTTTCATCCACAGACGGATGGACAATCTGAGAGGGTGATACAGATTCTGGAGGATATGCTTAGGGCATGTGCTCTGGAGTTCCAAGGAAGTTGGGACAAGCATTTGGCTCTAGTAGAGTTTGCCTATAACAACAGTTATCAGGCGAGTATTGGCATGCCTCCATATGAGGCATTGTATGGGAGGAAATGCAGAACACCGTTGTGTTGGGACGAGGTTGGCGAGGCCAAGCTCGAGGGGATTGGACTTGTTGAAATCACCAAGGCTAAGGTGAAAGTCATTCAGGATAGACTCAAGGCCGCCCAAGATCGGCAGAAGAGTTATGCCGACAAACGACGAAGACCATTGGAGTTCGAGGTCGGTGATAAGGTCTTCCTAAGGATTTCTCCTTGGAAGGGTATCATCCGATTTATATCGAGGGGGAAGCTTAACCCCCGATACATTGGTCCATTTGAAATCCTTGAAAGGATAGGAGTTGTGGCATACCGTCTCAAGTTGACGCCAGAGCTTGAGAAGATACACGACATGTTTCATGTATCGATGCTCAAGAAATACGTGAGAGATCCATCTCATATTCTTGAGAAGCCACCAGTGGAGATACGTGAAGATCTACAATATGCGGTGGAACCGGTAAAGGTTTTGGGTCAACAAGTGAAGAAACTGAGGAACAAGGAGATTCCTATGGTGAAGGTTCTTTGGAGAAGTGATCGAGTCGAAGAAGAAACCTGGGAGACTGAGGTCTCAATGAGGGAGCAATACCCGTTTCTTTTCGATTAGACACGTGGATTTCGGGGACGAAATCCCAAATAAGGGGGGGTGAACTTGTAACACCGTCCCCAAATGCATTTACCTTTATGTGAATAATGTATTGAATCTTATGGAATGGTTAATGAGTATACGAAGTTGTGAATTTTACTTAGGATGTTTTTACTTGGACTGTAATTTGCCCCAGACCAGACCAGACCAGACCAGTCCAGACCAGACCAGACCAGTTCAGACCAGACCAGACCAAACAAGACTTGGATAGTTATAAAAATACAAAGAAACCAGACCTTACCAGACCAGACCAGACCAGTTCAGACCAGAC